ACATGCTGGACACCAGGATTCCTGCAGAAGCAGCATGGATATCCTTGGAACAATAAAGCAGAAAACCAGCAAGAACAGAGTGCAGGGTATCACATCATAAGCTGCCCCACCTTTCCAACTTCTGCCAGATTTTATGAAATCCTGCTCTTACCTCACCACTCATGCCTCCCTAAAGCCTGTTGCAAAAAGCTTTTTCTAGTGCAAAGAATAGACATTTCACCATGGGCAAGATTTTGTTTTCTTATTTAGCAGAAAGAGAACAGCAGACATGGAACTGGACTGTATATTGGAGCTAAGAAGTGAGGCAATGGTGGGAGAGTTAACAGTGGAGAGGGAAGAACCTGTCACACAAGCCCACTAACTTCCCTTCCTTCCATGGTAGCTGCCAGTTAAGCCCTCTGTATACTGATGTGCAAATAGCTTCTTTATACATCAAATTATAGAATCAACATTTACCACGTTATAAGCAGTCAGTTACTGTTTGAGACAGTTTGCCTGCTTTCTACTATTTATCACAATTTTTAAGATAAGCTTCTAAAGGAAACAGGTACTATCTTGGAGTCAATCTTTGCTATTGTTTATTTCCCTTTTTTAAAATGTGTCATTAGGCAGCAATGCTTTTAGTCATGTACTTAAAAGTGCTGAGTTTCAAATGTTGTTTTACTGTCAAAAGGATAGTAGTTCCATTTTAAAGCCATGACTGAGTCATTCTAAACCTCTTGAAAAGCCATAAATCACACATCAGACAGATCCCAAAAAGACCATTAGACATGAGCTGTCCTTCCTCATACCAGCAATTCCACTGCAGTAAATTTAAAAGTTAATGGGACTACTCCAGTGAGTAAAATAAACACATGGCACTGAGGCTATGCTCTGCTCTCATGGAAAGCACACAGGGAACCATTCCAATACACCAAATACAGAACTGATAACTCCTTAAAGCCTCCTTAAGGCACTGTGAGCACACTGAAATAAATGTGTCCAGACTTACCTGTTCTGCATACACAAGGCATATGCATGCTAGCAGCACTCAACACCTACAGAACTACACAAAACACTATAGCTGTGTGAATGCATGACATACTAAGCCAAGCTACTAAGTGTAACCTAATAAGCAGAATGTTCTGAGAGTGTGTATTTTTATCTGAAGCATTAGACTAATTTGAATTCATTGATATGAAAATTAAAACTATTTTCCCACCTGCTTTTACTATGCACAAAAAAAAAAAACCTTCCTGAAAAAGACTTAATTCACTAATTAAAGATAAACATTGTGGTATTACAGATAAATACGCATTTATCCACTGTGCCATGACACAGAAATTATATACCACTATGAGACAACACATACACACACAAGTCAACACACTGAGAACAGGTAGGCTCATTTCAGGCTCTGGCATGAATAATTTTCAAATTACATCCTTCTTTTATTTTTGCCAGCACAAGACCCACCCCTTTAATTGTACTCATTTATTCATTCACTCAAATAAAAAACGATACATTGAGATAAAGCAAGCTTCAAAAAACCCTGAAAGAATTAAGAGGGAAAGGACTAAAGCAGGAGTTCATAAAAGATAATAATATCCTTCTAGTCTTAAAACAAATACAACACATTCCAAAGATCCATTTTGTCTTTCTCACCTTTATCTATTTAAGCCAATGTCATTCTTTCAAACTGCATTTCTTTTGATTTCTTTAACAGTACACTTCACTGTTAAGCACTGCCTCATCAGCACTTCTGCTGAAAAGCCCTAAAATGAAATATACTTTGTATTTAATTACAATTATGCAAATATCTTGTGGAATTACTTTGTTACAAGCAATCAGATATAACGCATTCCATTATTTTAATAATTTGCCCACATGACACTTTTTAAGGTCATGTAAGTGACGATCAAATGTGATCTGCAAACCTCTTCAAATCCACAGGCGATGTGTAACAAATCATATAGTTTAGGGTGAAGGGGAGAGTCTTCAACCAAATCAGTCATTCATTGTGTTTCACATAAATAATTTACACAAGCCACTTCCCAAACCCTAGTACTTACAACAGAAAGATTTAAAACACATGCATTTTTAAACCAAACGCAGTGCAGGAAGCCCAGTCGCATATTGCAGGGCTGCCTCTTGGACCTTATTATCATAGGGAATGCATCTTAAAGCAATAATGCACTTCTGGAATACCAGCACTTCACAGAATTGTGTGATACTTCCATGGTGCTCCTTGGACATCAGGACTAATTTCTGGATTTTTTTAACATTACTCAAAGCAAAAAGCAAGTACTTGGTTTTTACAGCGAACTCTGCTAGAGTTAAAAATAATGGCTGAACAACACTTGAAAATGTATGAAATAGTATTGAGTCTTCATCTTTCACTACATGTTTTGCTTTTAACATACAAACTGAGGAGAGGTGATTAAAATAAAAATCTGGTTTATTTCGCTATTATAGGAAAGGCTGGAGAAAAACTAATTCATTTTTCCCAATGTATATCTTTCAATCCATTTTTGGAGATATCTCTAAAGGTGACCAGATTTGTGACAGAGGTTGGGCACTCAATGCTTCTCCATAAAATTGGCAGGAGCTTCTGAAACTCGGCTGCCCATGCAAAAAGCTACTTCTATGATAAGGAACTAAAACAATGAATTTACTTTCCCCCACTCCCTAAATCATAACCTAGATTTTTAAAGCATTTCCCCCTAAGTTCCCTCCACTAAAGGGTAAAATAGAACATCACATACTGTGAATTGTTAACTGCATGTATTTTATCTCATGAAGTTCTTGGGAGTTACAGTAAGATTTAGAGAAACGTGATGCAGGGGTAAAGAAAAAAATAAAAATATCCTGAGAATTTGTCATCATCTATGCAACTACTTATGTGCCTACACAGCACAGGGCACTGGCTAGTTGTTTAACCATGCTGAGTAGGATGAGTGATAATAAATGGAAAATAAACCCAGAAAGCCCAATACTACCAACTTTTGAAAACATTATTCACCGGTCTAAGATGGCTACCTCCATCTCAGCAAAAGTAAAGTTCCCAAGCAGCCAAAGAACTAACCCCAGGGGAGAAGCTCTCCCATCAGAGCCCAGAAGCAGCCAAATGAACTTTTCAAACCCAAACTGGTGACCAGTGTCACCTGGCACGCAGCCAGGCAGGTGGGCTGCAGCGCCCCAGGTTCCTCAGGCTCCACGCACTGCAGGGTGAGCCATCCCCGGGCACGGAGCTGTTCCGTAGCTACTGCCAAAGGAGACATGCTGCGAGAAGCACTTGTCAAAGAACGCTTGTTTACAAATAAATCTCGTCGCTGTGAAGGACGGCACTTATTGAATAAAGTTCAGGTCCACAGTCAGACCCCTCCTAGCAGCAGCCTTTTAGCTTTGCATTTACTGAAGAGATGGAAATTAGATGAGCAGCAGTCAGAAAAGTAGCAGCAGAGACACCGTGAAGCAAGCGCTCACGCTGCTCATCATTACTGTAATATTCCCCTGCAACCTCCCTGTAAAGATGCCACTAAACCCATTTGCTAGGCAGCTTCATTAATCCTTTCCAGTAGTTTCCTATCATGCAAAAGTCCTATTCAGCAGCTGCCTGTTCACGCAGAGCCACCTCTGTGCTCGGAAAACGGTCCCATTGACACAGTCGGTAATACCCAGCTTTTCCGAGAACTGGCAAGGATGACTGAGACGGGGCTCGGAGCATCTGTTGGTCTCTCAGCACGGTATCATGGCAGACTGGCTCACACAGGACAGCACGCTTCCCACAAGCAGGGTGAGTAAACAGGGAAAGCCCTTCTAAATCAGCAATGCCATCTCAACAGCATTGCTCCCAGGGGTGAAATCATCTGAGATTGCACGGGGGCAGAAGGATTGGGCCCACTGTTATCTAACCAAGGCAAAGCCAAACCATTTCAATCATCTCCCAAACCAATGCACTTCCTGAACATTTGATATCTTTGTACACAGAGGAACAGTATCTCCCCCTTCCTCTGCACTTTTTTTTTTTTTTTTTTTTTTTTTTTTTTTTTTTTTTTTTAAGAAAACTGCGATTCACATTATTCTCGCTCCCAAAAATAAATTACAGCTAGCTGGTTACCTCGGGCCACATCTTTGAAATTCTGGTACGGTTTTCCTCTACCAACCTCTGCATACCTCCTCCTCCTTCTAAAGGAGTTTCACAAATAATTACGGTGCATCACGCCAGCCTGCTTCGAGCCGCTGGCATCCCCTGCAGATGCTGAACTTCTCCACCCATTGCTTTCACATTACAGCCTGCCCGCGGATCCAAAAATATTAGGAAGCCCCAAGCAGTGCCCACACCACGCACGGAGAAAAAAAAAAAATCCCAGTCCGATTTTAAAGACTGGAAGCATCCTGCTACACAAGAAGCCTGGACGCGTTTTTGGCCATTGGCCTCACAGAGATCAGAGGTACAGAAAAATCCGTCCCCAGCGGCCGCGCTCCGCTGCGGGTTACACACCGCCACCGCCGCGGCTCCCTCTCCTTCATACGTGTATTTTAAGCCACGAAGTGAGCGCACTGCGGCCGGCGCTTGCAGGGCTCCCCGCCGGGAGCCTGCCCTGCCCCGCCGGAGCCCCTGCCCCGTGCGAACTCGCCCGTCCCGCTCCGGCCGCCGCCCCGCACCGCGCACCTGTGCGGCCCGGGGCAAGCGGCAGCGCCGCGCACACATCCATCCCCCGCAGAAAGGGAACACACCCGCCGCCAAACGCGCCCGTGCCCGGGCATCTGTGCACACCCACCCGTGCCAGCCTGCCCGCGCCCACCGCCGCCTCGCTTCGCCGGGAGCCCCCTGCCCCATCGGCGGTGCCACCCGCATCCCCGCCGCGGCATCCGCCTTCCCGCGGGCAGAGCCCGTCTCCGCTTCCCCCGCGATGTCCCGAAATCGAATCCGCCGAGCCTGAAGCCGCGCACCGCCGGGCAGCCGCCCTCCCGGGTGGGCGCTGCCCCGACGGCCCGGCCGCCCCGTCCCCGCTCACCCTCGCTGCCGGGGCTGGCCCGCAGGCTCCGGAGCGCGGCGCACAGCAGCAGCGGCAGGAGGCACGTCCGAGCGGGAGCCGGCGCCCCGGCGCGGCCGGCCCAGCCGCCGCTGCCCCGCGGCCCCATCCCGCCGCCGCTCAGCGCATGGGGCGGCGTCTCCCCCCCAGCGCTGCCCGCTCGGGTCGGCTCAGGACGGGACGGGGCGGGCTGGCAGCGCGGAGGGACCCGCTCCCCTCCGCTCCCGTCCAGCCGCCGCCGCGACTGGGGAGGCAGGGGGCGGGGATGGGGAGGTGGCCCCGCGCCGCCGCGGAGACGCCCCCGACGGGGCGGGCCCGCCGCCGGCGGCACCGTGTGCGGGGGACGGCGCCATCCGCGACTCCCGGAGCCCCGGGGAGCGGCGGGCACCGCACCCCGAGTGCCCGCCCGGAGGGGAGCCCCTCGCAGTCCCGCGGTGCCCGTGCGAGGGAGCGGGCGGCAGCGCCGTCCCTGCCAGGCGCCCCTCCAGCCCGCTCCGGGGGCACGGGGAGTGCCAGATCTCCCCGCAGCAGCCGCGGCTCACGGTGCCAAAACCTACACACGCACACCCCGGCCCAGAGCAGGGTAAGCCGAGATGTCACAAGGCTGGCAAGCCTGAGAGGAGGGCTCACCCTTGGCCAGGTAAGCAAAAATGCCACGAACTCCGTAATGGAGCCGATAGAAAGGCGAGTTTCAGGTGTATTTTACCTCAAGCCACCACCAGAGCACAGCTCTGAATCCAGCACAGCTAGTCTTAGAGAATCACGGAATATGCTGAATTGGAAAAGACCCGCAAGGATGATCAAGTCCAACTCCTAGCCCTGCACAGGACCGTTCCCAAGAATCGCACTATGTGCCCGCGAGTATTGTTCAAACATTTCTACACTGAGATGTTTTTACCTCTCAGAACCCTGGTTATCACCCAGGCCATCTCCCTAAAACAATATAATCCCCGAAAGAATCCTAGGAGGTTTATTTGCTCACACTGGTTCCTCGCTTGAGGGAACCTCTTCGAGATGAGCCAATAAAGACCAAAGCCAGCCGTGCGGGTGCCCAAGCAGCAAGTCAAGGTTAACCAGAGCCCTGCTCATCCCGTGCTGCCCCCTCCATTTCACCCCTGTTGATTTATATTATAAAAAGGTTAAACAAAGGTTGAGCACCTGCAAAAGGCTCGCCCTCTCTCTCCCCAAGAGGCAACGTTCAGGACTAGGGTTCCAAGCAAGTTGCAATTAAAAATATACGATCCCCACAGCCAGCTTAAAGAGGACAAATAGTTTTCAACTGGGGAACTTCAGATAACCTAGCTCTCTACACTGACATTACTCATCTTTTATTCCTTGTTAGCCGGACAGTGTATTTCTCTGGGTCTTCACACCATATGTACACCTCTGCTATTTCCATAAACATTGTCCTAAGCTGTTCACACGTATTATTTTCAAAAGTGTTGGCTCCTGTTGCAAGACGATTCTCTTCCTCAAGCTATTTAACATTTTTACTGCCACCAGGAGGACAAGGCAAGGACTGTTATTTTACATGAGGTACAACAGTAGAGTTGCCAGCCAGATGTGAAGCGTGGCGTGCATCTCTTCACAGCACTGCCTCAGATCTTCGCTATTTGAATACCCTCCTAGTCCGAAGTTCGAAAGGAGGTTTGCTATCACACTGCCCCTGGCGCATGGCTGGATCCTCAGCTAGAATAAATCACAGCTGAGAATGTCTGACCCCAGCCCTGCATCAGATTAAGGAGGGGAGCAGCACCACGGGGTATAATAATTTCTAGGGATTTGCCATCTGTAAAAGCAGTGTTTACTTTTGCCATCCAGAAATCAGGGCAATGCAGGGG